GAAGGTGGTGGCGAGGAGGTAGCAGTGGGGACCGGGACACATCGGTCCCCCGTGCAGCGTCCGGGCAGGGGATGGCCCTACCTTGTCACCGGGAGCACCAGCGGGGCCGGGGGGGCCGATGGGGCCGGGCAGACCTCGGAGACCGTCTTTGCCAGGAGCGCCGTCAGCACCTTTGGGACCGGGGTCGCCCTGGGAGAGGCAGATGATGGCGGGTTACCTGGGGATGTCACCTCCAGGCCCCCCCGGGGGGGCCCCCCCCCCCCCCTTCCCTCTCCCTTTGGCACAGCAGCACTGGGTCTTCGCCCTCCCCGGGAGAGGCTTGGACCATCCTCCTCCTCCTCCTCCCAGGTTCCGGGGGGGAAGAGTGGGGCTCAGCTCCCAGCTGGCAGCAAGGGACTGTCCCCAAGGGATGGGGACGGAGGTGGCACTGAGCATCCCCTCCCATGGGGGGGCTGCTGCCCACCAGCCTTGGCTTAGGCGAGCACATCCAGCCCCGAGCGGATGATGGAGGGGGCACGGGGATGACGGGGAGCAGAGGACCAAGGGGGGACAGGAGGATTTTGGGGGGATACATACTCTGTCACCCTTGGCGCCTGGCAGGCCGGCAGCACCACGCTCTCCGGGCATACCCTGCAGACCGGGGGGGCCTTGGTTCCCGGGGGCACCGGGAGCACCAGCATCACCCTGGGCGAGAGAGACAGAAAACAGCCATTAGCGACATCCCGGCGCTTCCTCGGCACAGCAACACCCTTCCCGGCTTCAGTTCCATCCCCGGCAAAAGGGGGTGAAGCCAACCCCCCCCTTTTACACCTTTACCCCCCTTTCCATCTGCACCCCAAAAACCACCGGCCACGGGTGGTCACCCATCACCCGCACCTCCGGGGACACCCTGTGCGGGAGGGAGAGGGTGCAGGGTGAGGGTGGGAAGGGGTGACCCTGGGGACAGGCGGAGGGGTCCCCTGGACACCCCCAGGGGTGGGGAGGGAGGGGGTCCCCGCTGCTTCCAGGGGGAGAGGCTGCACGGAGCACATCGCCCCGGGACACCCCAGGGGCAGCCCCCGGGGGAGAGGGGTGATGGGGAGGGGACGGGGACGGTGCCACGCCACCGCCGTGCTCGCCCACGCTCACCTGCTCACCGGGCTTGCCCGCCTCACCGGGGGGGCCAGCGGGACCCGGCAGACCCTGGGGAGGAAGAAGAGGAACGGTGAGACACCACGGAGGGGGGTGACGAGGAAAGGGGCAACGTCACCCCCACCCTGGAGGGTTTGTCCCCTTCGCAAGGGAAGGGGACGTCCCTCACCTGGAAGCCAGGAGCGCCGGCGGGACCTTGTTCACCTCTTTCTCCAGCGGGACCCTGGGGGAGATGGGATAAGCGTGAGCCAGTGGGCTCCTGTGCCCCTTCTCTGGTGGCCAAGCGTGGCTACGGGTGGCCAAGGGTGCGTTGATACTCACGGTAGGGCCGGGAGGACCTTGGGCACCTGCTTCACCGTCTTTGCCAGCAGCACCCTGTGGGAGAGGGAGAAGAGGGGGGTCAGAGCACAGCCCCCACCGTCACCCCAGTGATGCCCCCGCGGGACTCCGCACCCCCCTGACACCCCCCCACCACCACCCCC